TTTGTGTTGTTCTTGTTCAGCACTTTGGTACATCTTTATGCATGTTGTAAAGTGCTATATAAATAAATTTGACATTGACATCTGTCCTTCAGATTTGTTCTGATTGTCGGATTAACAAACATTTGTAATCCCTTCAGATTATAAGTTTTCCCTCTTAAAATGTGATTGGATGTTTGAAGGTAACATTTCTATGAGCCTTATACATAACCTGCAGAATGTTATAATCAACCAACTCATGAAACTTTAATCATTTTAACTGATGAAACAATAAATTAGAAGGGTGATAGTAATGCTTTCTTGTAATAATTCTTATGACTTTTTTTTGTAAAATAAAAATAGGATTAGTAATGTTTTTACATGCATTTCCCCAGACCTCTGTACAATAAATCAAATGTGGAACAATAATTGTGTTATACAGTATAAATAGTGCTTTATTATTAAATAACTCCCTAACTTCAGACAACATCTTACTGTTGGTGTTGGAGGTTCTCTGTCTTCCTGCTGTGGTCTGTGTTTGTGCAGAATGATGACTTCATGTTCTACAGTCTCTAAAGGTTTGTTAAACTYCAAACAGCTGAAGGACTCGTCCACCTGTCCTTTCTTTCTGCACCTCCTCCTCTGAGGACCGTAACCTTCATCCTCCTGTCCTCTCCACCTGCTGTCAGTAAMGAGTGCAGCTGACGTCTCTTCCTGGTTTGTTTTAAAGAACTTAGTGAAACTGGTTTATTTTGAAACGCTCTCCTTGCCTCTCACAGCTCAGTGGCGGTGCTGAGGGACTGCATGAAAAACCAGAGTCTGGTTTGTTTCTTCCAAGAGCGACAGACGAGTCTGCATCACTCCTTACCCCTGGAGACGTACCTGCTGAAACCTGTGCAGAGGATCCTCAAATACCACCTGCTGCTACAGGTGACGCACCCTGTTCCTTCACAAACCACAGGACGTCCCTCACATTCAGGTCCTTCTCAAGACATTAGCACATAAACTTCATTATTTTCTGTCATGTACTGATAAACATTAAACTTTCATAAATTCACATGCTGTGGTCCATCCGCTCATTAAAAACAACAACCTCCATTCAAAGGTGCWGCCTAACCTCAGACCTGTCTCCAACGTGTCCTTTATGTGTGAAGTTATTGTCCACCTGCAGCTGACACGGTTTGTTGGCAGGATGGACCTGATGCAGGCAGAGTTACACATGATTAAACATTTCTTAAAAGAACACAAAGAGCTGACATGGAGCCACAGAACCGTCTCAGTGATGTTCAGGCATGGCTCAGAGCTGATTTTCTGAAGATAAATAAGGAAAAGTCTGAGATCCTGGTGTTTGGTCAGTGTGATCCCCTGCCTGGGCAGGGCAGCGTGATCGGACCTCTGTCCTCTTTTTATCGTCCGTTTGTGAAAAATCTGGGTGTGACGGTGGACTCTCTGTTTACATTTAAAAACTTATTAGCACCGTTACCAAAGCCAGTTTCTTCCAGTTGAGGACACTTGCTAAGATAAAGTCTTATCTTCCTTTGACTGACTTTCAGAGAGCTGTTCATGCATTTATCACGTTGTGTTTAGATTATTCTCTGTCTTTAGGGCTGGACCAGAGTTCTGTACAAAACACTGCAGCCTGTTTGTGACAAAACCAAGGAGACATGAATCTGCCAGGCCCACTTTACACCCTTCATTCATTTATACCATCCCTGTTGTCCTCAGTGTAAAATTTAAGGTTTTATTAATAGTTTTTAAATGTTTAAACTCTGTGGGCTCACCTTGTGCAGCCCTACACCCAGAGCCCTGAGGTCAGCTGACCAGCTGCTGTTGGTCATCCTACAGTCAGGTCAAAGACCAGAGGAGACAGAGCTGTGGCTGTGGCTGCACCCAAACTGTGCAACTGTCTCCCTTTGTCTGTCAGGCTCTGTGAGTCAGTGGGTCAGTGTAATCCAGACTGAAGACACACCTGTCTCCCTTTGTCTGTCAGGCTCTGTGAGTCAGTGGGTCAGTTTAATCCAGACTGAAGACACACCTGTCTCCCTTTGTCTGTCAGGCTCTGTGAGTCAGTGGGTCAGTTTAATCCAGACTGAAGACACACCTGTTG